CCGAAGAAGATGCATTCAAAGATTGCGAGATCGGAACTGATTCTAAAAAGACTGGATAGAAAAAAGACCAGCTCGAGACTGCTTGAAACCGATCCAAAAATATACTGGACCGTTTCGAGAGCGATTCCAAGAAAAACGAACTGATCCCAAACCATTCCGAGGACCTTCTCCGTCCTAACACAAAAATAATAAGGAGATTGTGCTCCTGGAAGGCGTATGAGAAGTTTGTTATACTGCTTTTTAGGGCGAAAGGTAAAGGGCCCAAAATTCTTGATGAGTTCGAAAACTTGAAGCCCAAAACAATGTCCTGAACTCTTGACCCGATCAATTCCTATTCGGATCCAGTAAAAGTCACATCACAGAGGTGCACAGTAACAGTCAGACAGTCCTGCTCAACCCCTTCCTCTCTGAAACCAGGCTTGCATAATATATAAGCTACCAGACATCTCCGTTGACGAGTTAAGCAAGGTCAAGCAATCGATCAACCAATTTTGATTTGATCTGTTATATAATTGCTTTGATCTCTTCCGAGTTTGTGCTCCTGTGAATCTAATTTTTACCGATATGTCAAAACCCTCATCCTCTAAAGTAATCCTCCTTAGGTATCTTCATCATCGCCATTCAAAGGCCTTGTCGCTACCCAGACCCCCAATTTCATCGACTCCCATTTCTCAAATCATCTCTCGGAACCCTAAACTAAACCCATGGATTCCATCCTGTCGCTTACCCAGCTTATTGCCCTCTTCAGTTTCGAAAATTTCCCAAAATCCATCTCATAAACTATCCGTGGAAACCAATTTGACCAGGAATTTCCTTGGGTTCAGGTACATCTCCACTGGGAGTTCGAATCTAGGTGGTAAATTGGATATGAATTTGTTGAAGAGTAAGATTAAAGAACCCGGTGCAGCAGTTAAGAATGCGTTTTCGAGGTATAAGCAAGCTGTTGGATTGCAGATGGAGGCGTTTTGGAGGAGGAACAGCATGGTTTTGTGGGGTGCTGGTGGGGTTTTGGTGTGTATTTTGCTTTGGAGGATTATGTTTGGGATCGCAAATACTTTTATTGGGTTATCCGAGGGTATGGCCAAGTATGGTTTTCTTGCTCTTTCCTCAGCTATCGTCGCATTTACTGTGAGTTTCATCTTTTGATTCGATTAATGTTCATGTTATTGATTGCTGATAGTATTGGATACAATGAGGCTTTAGTAGGCTCTCTTTTATTACCAAGTTTACAGACTGTAGGAGGTGTTTTGACAGACATTTCATCTGTGACATGATGATGACTCTGATCATATTTTAGTTTCATTCATCTGTTATTGCATTTTGGTTTCCATCATGGATTAACCGGATTTTATGATATGTTAAGGGGTTGTATCTGCGATCAAGATTCACTATAAATCCTGACAAAGTTTATAGAATGGCAATGAGAAAACTGAACACATCAGCTGACATTCTTGAGATCATGGGTGCTCCACTCACTGGAACGGATCTCAGAGCATATGTTATGTCAGGAGGCGGCGTCACACTAAAAAACTTCAAAGCAGCTCTCAGGAGCAAACGATGTTTTCTGATTTTTCCAATTCGAGGGGCAGAAATGAAAGGCTTAGTTAGTGTTGAAGTCAAGAACAAAAGTGGCCAGGTGGGTTGCTTTATTTTTTTTTTTTGTTGGTAAGGAAAAAAGAAAGGCATGTATTTGATATTTTTATTGTAATTGTTCAGTATGATATGAAGTTGCTATCGGTTGACATTCCAATGGCAACGGGACCCGATCAGCGTCTATACCTGATTGGGGATGAAGAAGAATACAGAGTCGGTGGGGGGTTGATATCCGAACTAAGAGACCCTGTTGTGAAAGCCATGGCAGCAGCCAAGGAGTTTGAAGCTCGTGACATTAAAGAGGACAAAGAAGATGCAGAAAGAGAACTTGAAGAGGCAGAAAGAAAACATCGGGAAGAAGTTGAAAAGATTCAAAGAGAGGCTTCATAGTTATCTTCGTCCTTTTTTTTTCATCACTACACATATTGATTGTTGTTTCTTTGTCTTAGTTTTAGAACGAGCTCTTCTGTTCCATTCTGTTGTGTTCATACCCTTGTAAAACCGGGAATCTAAATTGAAAGAATATGTCAGTATTTTGGGTTAGGGACACCAAAATGGGCAAAAATAAATTTGAATCAGATTTTGGCTCTCAACATTTGTTTGTTTGTGACAAACTCTGTTCTGATTTTCAACTTTCAAAAGTTTCGTTATCTCATTTTTATTCTGATTATTTGTTGTCAATTTATCAGTTTTTAATGGTAACATGGAGATATTATTATCATTTTTCTTAAGCTACCTTAACTATTGCTTAAGGTTTTAATTATAATGTACCCATTGATTGTTTTGTGACTTAATTGTGCAATTATTATTATTATTATTATTTTTATGAAACGTGATTTTTGACTTGCATTTAAATTTGTTGGAACTTTCACGAATAAAATAGGAGATATTAAGAAAATAGAGGTATTCCCCAGTTAAGGATCTCCATGTCCCAGCGGATTCCCAACAACTAGACTGTAACATCCGGACTTTTACCAGGTATCATGTAAATTGTATTTTGTTGAATTGTGAGGGAGATTCGGCGAGTTGGAGCTCAGACTCGCCGAGTAGAGATGCGGATTTGGACGATGGATCGCGCCTGGACTCGGCGAGTCCAGGATATGGACTCGGCGAGTCTGCGCTGTGTAATGAAACCCTAAATTCTCGGGTTTGAGACCTATTTAAAGGGCCTTATGGCCGTCATTTGTGCTCACCCAACCCTTAGAGAGAAACCCTTGAGTGCTTGAACGTTTTGAGAGAGAAAGGAGCATTTCTTGACCTTGTGGGTGTCATTTAGCAAAGAAGGAGAAGATTCTAGGCAAGAGGAATCAAAGGAGGTTGCTATTTCGTGGATTTGGAGCTTAGATCATCAATCTAGAGGTATGATTTCGGTTTATATTCCGTTTGGTGAAGTATTATGCGATCTAGGGTTTCTTATGGACATTTATGGGATGATTTGATGCCCAATGGTTCCCTCCTTGTGTTGAGGTTTTGGATCTGGATCCATAGAGGTCCAGAGAGCCTCACTCATCAAGCTTTATGTATGACAATGGAGTTTATGACCTTGTGTTGTAGTATTTGAGTCAAAAACATCATATATGGTCATATAGAGGTTGTATGTGCATCAAGATTGTAACTTTACGTGCTAAATGAGCTTGGAAGGACTGGATCTATGGGTTAATGGACAGGATCTGACCTTATGAGCAAGTTTGAGTCATTGCATGGCACGGACTCGCCGAGTCCGAAGAACAGACTCGGCGAGTAGTATGAATGTTGCCCGACCGCACAGTGAGTGGTCTTGCCGAGTTGGGGAGGGTTGACTCAGTGAGTCAGGGGGAAGTCAGAGTGGACAGGTGGACTGAGTCAAGCTGGACTCGCCGAGTTGTTCTTGAGACTCGGCGAGTTGAGTCGTGGTGGCCCCACAACTCATGCCAGGTGGAACTCGTCAAGTTAGGAGAATACTCGACGTGTCAAGGGAGGATTCCAGGGAAATTAGTGTATACGCTCAGACTCGCCGAGTCGCCATGGCGTACTTGCCGAGTCCGGTCAAAGTTGACCGTTGACCGTTGACCAGCGTTGACCTAAGTTGACTTGTTATAGTGTGGTCAACCTTAGTTGGGAAAGTGTTAATTAGAGATGTATTGTGCTATAGGAGGACCATAGCTCGGCAGATCGAGCGTTAGCGATTTCAGATTTACGACTTACCGAGACACGCGAGGTGAGTCTTCTCACTATACCTTACCTTGAGTAGGTAACCAGAGTTATGTGATAGAGTATTTGTATGCTATGTATGTTACGTGTTGTACTGCATTATTTCTATGTGATTTATGTGGTGCATGTTTATCAGAGCTAGAACCTGAGGGTTTACAGAGTTTGGGTGCACGGACCCACAGAGTTATAGCCTCGAGTGGCTAATATGTGTTATATGTGGTATTTTGGGGAACTCACTAAGCCTTGTGCTTACAGTGTTTGATGTTATTGTTTCAGGTACTAGTGACGACCGCGGGAAGGCGCCGGCTTGATCCGTACACACACACGCTCGGAGTTTTGACATTATGATCTTGGGATTTTGTATTGTCTTATTTGGATAATTAAAACGGTTGTTTTGATGAATATCGATGGAATTGTGTTTTATAAAAATTGAAAAATTTGTTTTGAATTTACGGTGTTACAAATTGGTATCAGAGCTAGGGCACGGGTCGATGTGTTCGACAGGGACGTCGAACCCTATAATGGGGGGGTGAAGGTGGGTTGCACCTGAACCCACATCGGCTGGGAAGGAGAACTAAGCATTCCTTATAAGGTGTGTGGATACCTTCCCTAACACAACGCGTTTTAAAGCCGTGAGGGCAGCAGATCCCATAAGAACTCTGCAGTTAAGCGTGCTCGGGCGGGAGTAGTACCGGGTGACCCCCTGGGAAGTCCTCGTGCCGAGTGGCCCAAAGCGGACAATATTGTGATACGTGCCAGAGGGGGGGCAGCAGATCCCATAAGAACTCTGCAGTTAAGCGTGCTCGGGCGAGAGTAGTACCGGGATGGGTGACCCCCTGGGAAGTCCTCGTGCCGAGTGGCCCAAAGCAGACAATATTGTGATACGTGCCAGAGGAGGATGTTACATAGACGCCCTAGCCTTGTCAAGGGGCACCTTCCACTACAGGACAAGGATAACGGCTCCAGGCGACAAGGAGCACATCCAGAGCATTATTGCCTGGACCAATCGTTGGACTTGACACAACGAGGAACACGACAACGGATCTTGTCAGGGCTGCAGTCCTTGTTCCTCGTACAGACCGTGGAGGATCCTCAGTATAAAAGGACTACTACTTCACCTTGAAGGGTAAGCTATCTCTCCCAATTCTCAACCCTCACTCTCGAATACACTACTAACTTGACCGTCGGAACATTTTCCCGGGACCTCCTCTCGGAAAATGGCTGACGAGTTTCTCTCTTTGTGGCCTCTCAGGTTTCTCTCTGACGAACTCAACCTTCACCATCCAGGTGGTCGGAGACCAGGTCGCATTATTTGGCGTCGTCCGATTGTGTGACAACAGATATGCAAACCTATTTTCCTCTTTAACCCACTAACAAATGACGAACGAAGCCGCTGGCGAGCCGTCGGAAACACCATAAAGCTCGATACAACCAATGATCTCGCTGGAGACGGCCAACACCCCGATAACAACACAAGCTCCGACGACTAGCGCGGTTTTTGAGACGCCATCATCCGGTGGCGGCTCTCACAGCGACTACACCTTTTGTCACAACCCATAATCATATACTAATACCCACTCTGAACAACACAAGCCCGCCATTGTTCCCCAACATCAGCGGACACAATCCATTCACTCCACCTCCTCTACAATCATTTTTTCCTAACACCGGCAGACCAAGTAATGCCGACTACAGTCTAATCCCGCCACCTATTCACGACACAAATGAGTCACAACAAATGAAACTCATAACACCACCGTTAACGGTGCAAGTCACTAACGGACTACCCCCGCTCATGCACACGTCCGCAACCCCGACGAATAACGCCGCTAGTGGCCCAGGTGTTGCTTTCCAAGCACAAAGCTACCCATCCTTAGTGACAGGAGCCATGCCGACACCGCCATTCACACCATACCAGCAACTCCCCATTCCCCACACGTTTTCCACCCCGTTCCAACCATAGAACTTCTATGGCCCAACACCACCAGACCTTGCAGCTTATAACAACATGCTGGTACAAACATTCCTGGCAATGCAACAACCAGGATACTATTTTGCTCAATGGACACCGAACCAAGATTGCCTCTCGCGCAGTGTCATATCACCGTTCGTGAACGAATTGCTGGAGTACGAGATTCCCAACATCGCCAAGCTACCTCACCTCAAAACATACGATAGCACCACAGACCCAGATAGCCACATCGACACATACGAGTGGACGATGACATATCTCAAGCTAGACGAACGCTTCCGGTGCACGTACTTCCCTACCACTCTAGACGGCAACTCAGGGACATGGTTCAAAACATTGCGTCCTGGTAGCATCTGCAACTTTAGCCAGCTGAAATACCTCTTTTTAATCAACCTCGTGCAGCTCCGTAAGTACAACGACAATTGTCACTCTATTATCGAGTGTAAGCAAAGGAAGGGGGAGACAGTCAATGATTACTTCACTAGGTTCACCAAAGCAACATTAGACGTGTCGGGACACGACAAAGGATTAATGTAACGCCCGCAGATCCAGACTAGTCAATTTAGAGGCAATAGGGGTCGAAAATGACTTTTCGACAAAAGATTATTTAGAATAAATAATCTTAACCAAGTTGTAGAGTATGTCACAAGGTTTCCGTACATATAAAGAACGCCGAAATCCGAGTTATAACGAAGAAGTTATGGCCCGCCGAAGTTTTACGGCAAAACCGGCACGGCACCGGGAGACGTAAATAGTGAATTTACGATAGAGCGAGATTTAGCCTTAGAAATCTAAAAAAAAGTTGTAGAATATGTTAAACTAAGAACGTCGATAAAAAGAACGCCCAAATCTGACTTCGTATGAGGAAGTTATGATTTTTCTAAGATTCGGCTTAGCAGTGCACGGCCCGAAACTCGAATTTTAGTTCGAGCGGTTTTTGGCTTACGTGACCTAAATGAGAGTTGAAGATCTCATTAATAGGAACTCAACGGTAAAAAGACAGACGAAAACGGAGTCCGTATGAAGGAGTTATGAATTCTTCGCGGTCATTTAACAGTCTAAACGCCTCCTACTGTTAAATTTGAGATCGGTCGAGAATTAGCCGACAGAGTCTAAACAAAAGTTGTAGATCTTGATTTTACCTACGCGTGGATATAAAGAACGTCGAAAACGGAGCTCGTATGCGAAAGTTATGATTTTTCTAAGTTTGAAGGCTGATACACGATAGGGGGTGACGTGGCACCACCAGAATTGGACACGTGGCACCACCAAAAGGCCACCACATGGACTGACTCGACGAGTCATGACTCAGACTCGACGAGTCCACCCAATTCCTCCCCTATAAATAGAGGTGCCGGGTTCCCTCATTCTTCACACCTTCAACCTTCTTCTTTCTCTCTCTAAACTCTCTCTCTAAGCCCCCTAACCCCCCTAAAGCCTAGGGTAACTCCCTAGCACGAGGCGGAAGCCCTGGAGCGCCCGACGGCTCCGAGAAAAGAGCCTTTCGGCTCGGGAAACGCTGCTCCAGCGAAGCCCGGTTTTGCGAAAAACCCGCTGTAAGTGAGCTACGCCTACGCTAGTTTTAATATAGCTTCTAATTAGTTATAGTAACATTATTAGGACCTTAAAATAATTGTTTGGGCTATTATTATGAGTTATATTGAGTGTTATTTAACGCTTATATAATAATAATAATAGTCAGACTATTAATTAGTCACGGTTATCGTTAGACTAAACCCTAGTGGTACTGGTACTAGGTTTTATCGAAGGAATATCGTTTTGAGAGTATCGAAGCGCTGTCCGAGTGCTGAGTCACCACCTATTCAGGTGAGTGCATGGTCCCTTTCATCTTACACATAGATATGAAGTATTTTAATTACGTGCTATGTGTACATATTGTCTGAATACTTGCTGTCTATGCTGAGTGAAAGATTTTTATACATGTTTTAAATGATTTAAACTGTATACATATTTTATATCTACAAAAAGTGTTGGGGAAAAACATGGGTAGATAAAATAGTTGTTTGTGATAACACGATGGGAGACATCAGTGTTGTCAGTGATCTAGTCATCTAGTGGAGTATAGATGACGACTATGGACGATACTAGACGGTCCAGTGGAACGATAGCAGTTTCGTATCATGTAGGTATTTTTGAACTACGTGCTCACTAGGTATTTTGAACTGAGTGTGTTCACTACGTATCTTTGAACTGAGTGTGTTCACTAGGTATTTTGAACTGAGTGTGTTCACTACGTATCTTTGAACTGAGTGTGTTCACTAGGTATTTTGAACTGAGTGTGTTCACTACGTATCTTTGAACTGAGTGTGTTCACTAGGTATTTTGAACTGAGTGTGTTCACTACGTATCTTTGAACCGAGTGTGTTCACTAAGTATTTTGAACTAAGTGTGTTCACTAGTTACTTTTGAACTAAGTGTTTACCAGATGTTTCGGACTACGTGTTCACAAGATATATTCTATAAGCCTTGGTAATGATGGACTTCGTGTCGATTCCTTAGGATGATCCTTAGGAATAAATAAACAAGGAATAGTTGATTCTTAGGGCAGATCCTTAAGACTAAAGAAGATAATGGGGATGGGTAATTGGGTTGATTGTTTGATTGTTTAAACATAATAATTATATTATTGTGGGTTGAAAACCCTATGTACTCACCAGGTTTCCCAACCTGACCCACTCAGTTTATGTATATCACAGGTGACGAAATGAAGTGACATTACACTGAGAGATTTAAAGAGATGTAGATCACTAGTGTAAATAATTGTAAGTTCTGTTTATGCTTATGTTTCTGTATTAACGATGACATCCCAAACGTTTTAAGATGAATAAAAATACGTTTCTTCGAAAATGTTTTAATAACGTATTTATCGTGTTTTTCTGGGAACAAATTCCGCAACCTTTTTATAAAATGAAGTACTCTGATTTTTATAAAGCATAAACAAAATTGGTCTTTTCTGGCCGTGATTTTGGGGATGTCACAGTTGGTATCAGAGCATTAGTTTAAGCGAACTAGGAATATGGATTTATTTCTAGACTTAAACTTAGAATGCTAAGTAATGAATGTGAGGAGTGTGTCAAATAGATTTAGGTAATGCACCTGAATAGACACAAGAACTAGCTTATCTAGGGAAAATTCCTAACATGCTTTTATGTGCTAAATGATTTATGATATACATTATATGATCGGATCTATGGTCTGTTGCCGACCGGATCTGGAAATTTTATGTGCTCAGGTTTCTAAACGTTTAATTACGATATTAGAACTGACATGTAACTTTTTGGAGTAATAAGGAGGAATACGTGTCTAATTCTTCCTCTATCTATATTCTCGTCTCGATACACCAAACACTTGCTTTGGAAAATAGAATGTCATGATAAGGACTCATAGAGAATTAAGTAAGTGGATGAAATGAAAAGGCTTACGATAGTGAATGACACCTATCAGAAGATATCATAAGAGTGGTATCTTGCCTTTAGAATATGTCATGCTGTACCTTTAGAGGAGTACAGTACGTCTGAAGTACACATTCGATCGGCAGGATGATGGAATGATTGGCGTAATTCATGAAGTTGACCCATCGTATGGTATTTCCACTGAGCTGAAGCAGAATTAATGATTGAAGATACGCATAGAAGAAGTCCTAGTAGAGTGTAGGGAAAATTTTGTGATTGTTTGGACACATTTTTATGTGTTAAAAATTGTTTTGTGATAATAACTTGGGAAAACTGCGAGACAATACTTGGGACGAGTATGAGTAGGTGTGAAAGGTAGTAGATGCATATACTACCGGAAGCACAGGACTCACACTTGGATAAGGGAAAGTCACAAGGTTACCAAGAAACTAGTAATTGATTTCGTTTTATTCAAGTATGTCGTTACAATTGTTTCGGTAATGACTAAGAAGATTGTTGTTATCCCGACCCTAGTGGTCATATCACATTGAGTCCGACTATGATAAGTAGGTTACGTGGTTCAGAGAACCAAGTTTGATGTAGCGTCCGACTTAAACCAAACGATTGAAATCAAAGCGATCAATAGAAGTATCGCGCTCGTTTTTAAAAGAAGATGGTTGCTAGAGATGCTACCTTTTTAGATGTGACTAGAACATGAAGGAAGGTATAGACTATTCTGGAATTTGACTCTAAGAGACCTGAGTCTGAGCATTGCAACATACGATGAGAGGTCATTAGAATATGACACATCGGTCCATTGTATTAATAAAAGAACTTATCTTAAGTTCGTATCCAGAGAGGATCGAGATTGTGACTTGAAGGTCATAATTTGGAGTCTAACGTGAGATAGAGAGCGTACGCAAGATCGAGCACCGCCTGTAGTCAAGGAATCTAAGGGTTAGATACACGTTCGAAGAAACATCGAAGTTATGACTTAGGATGAATAGATAACAAATGGAGTCATCATGTGAGCCCTGTTTCGTTGATGATTCCGGGACGTAATGATCCTAAGGGGGAGATAATTGTAACGCCCGCAGATCCAGGCTAGTCAATTTAGAGGCAATAGGGGTCGAAAATGACTTTTCGACAAAAGATTATTTAGAATAAATAATCTTAACCAAGTTGTAGAGTATGTCACAAGTTTTCCGTACATATAAAGAACGCCGAAATCCGAGTTATAACGAAGAAGTTATGGCCCGCCGAAGTTTTACGGCAAAACCGGCACGACACCGGGAGACGTAAATAGTGAATTTACGATAGAGCGAGATTTAGCCTTAGAAATATAAACAAAAGTTGTAGAATATGTTAAACTAAGAACGTCGATAAAAAGAACGCCCAAATCTGACTTCGTATGAGGAAGTTATGATTTTTCTAAGATTCGGCTTAGCAGTGCACGGCCCGAAACTCGAATTTTAGTTCGAGCGGTTTTTGGATTACGTGACCTAAATGAGAGTTGAAGATCTCATTAATAGGAACTCAACGGTAAAAAGATAGACGAAAACGGAGTCCGTATGAAGG